TAACAGCGAAGACTGATAGGTTTCTAATGGGCTAAAAAGAGAGCAGCAGATGACTCCACAGGGGGGTCTGGGCGGGTGCCGGACAGGGTGCCGCAGAAGTCGTTTGAAGCCAACAGTCACACACTTCGTGCTCTTCGACCTCCCAAGAACTCCATTCCAGCGCGGACACATTTGAATGCCCGGAGCCAACTGTAGGCCACTTCGTGCTCTTCGACTTCACCAGGAGAAACACGAACTCACGGAAACACACCTTACATTCCCGTCGGCACCATTTTTGAATGCATGGATGCGAGGCCCAACTCTGCAGTTTTACGGCCACTTCGTGGTCTTTCCGAGTCCCCAGCCCAGCCAACTCCATTCCCGGGCCACATTTTGGATGCCCGGAGCCATTTGTAAGCCACTTCGTGCTCTTCGAGTTCCCAGAACTCCATTCCCGGGCCACATTCTGAATGCCCGGAGCCAACTGTAGGCCACTTCGTGCTCTTCGAGTTCCCAGAACTCCATTCCTGGGCATGATTTTGAAACCAGTATGCTCAACCTGTGAGCGACCCTTCGTGACGCTTCGATACTTCCCAGCACTCCCTTTCCTGGGCCACATTTTCGCAACTGCTGAGGCACGCGCCTTGATGCTGCGGTCGAGCACCAGGGCTGGTGGCTGACGACGACAGAGGCGTCGAGGCTGAGAGCCGAGGCTGAAGGCAGTCACCAGATGAGGCTGAGGCTGAAGCAGACTGCACCGAGGCTGAGGCTGAGGCAGGCTGAGGCTGAGGCTGAGGCAGGCTGAGGCTGAGGCTGAGGCAGGCTGATGCTGAGGTAGGCTGAGGCTGAGGCTGAGGCTGATGCAGGCTGAGGCTGAGGCAGGCTGAGGCTGAGGCCGAGGCTGAAGGCAGACTGAGGCTGAGGCTGAAGCAGCCTGAGGCTGAGGCTGAGGCAGGCTGAGGCTGAGGCAGGCTGAGGCTGAGGCTGAGGCAGGCTGAGGCTGAGGCTGTGACTGCGACTGCCGTTGCCGCTGCGACTGTCATCGCGAATGCGACTACGACTGCGAGAACAGCAGAATTCTACAACTGGATTTTCATCTGAATCTTAAGGGGAATGCTTTCAGATATGCTTCTACACATCGCTGTTAGGTTGCTTTGCCGGGATAATTGAACATCCCCCCTGGAGAGGCGGGACAGGCCCGACTTCACGCTGCGCGAGCGAGCGCAGAGCCACTCGCGCCTCGCGCCTCGTGCGGCCCCGGCAGCCCCCGCGACGACGCGCCTCGGGCGCCCGTGGCGTGGGGGGCCTCTGCGCCGGAGGGAGGCGCCCCCGCGGGGGGCCCCGCCGGGGAAGCCCCCGCGGAGCGCTCCCGCCTGAGAAGGTGCCGCAGGACAGGGCGGGGCTGTGTGCCCTGGGCCTCCCAGACAGGATCCCGTTTCGCCTCGTCGTCGTCGTCGTCGTCGTCGTCGTCGTCGTCGTCGTCGTCGTCGTCGTCGTCGTCGTCGTCGTCGTCGTCGCCGCCGCCGTGGGGTTGCTGCGCGGGAGAGCGCCTCGCGCCTCGCGCGGCCCCGGCAGCCCCCGCGACGACGCGGCTCGGGCGCCGGTGGCGTGGGGGGCCTCTGCGCCGGAGGGAGGCGCCCCCGCGGGGGGGCCCCGCGGGCCGCCCCCGCCCGAGAAGGCCCGCAGGGCAGGGCGGGGCTGTGCGCCCTGGGCTCCGGGGCAGGGCCTGTCCCTCCACAGGGGGGATGTGCAGAAATGGTCGAGCAATAGTCTGGGGACGATCTGTTCCTACTATCTTTGAGCATCTGGTTGGAGCACGTTTGGAGCACGTTTGGTTGGAGCATCGTTTGGCTGTGCGCCCTGGGCTCAGGTCGGGCTCAAGTCCCTCCACAGGGGGGAATGTGCTTAGCACCGAGGCCACATCCCATCATTAGGGGAGCAGAGAGTGGCATAAACATGACAACTCGGAGATCCGCGCGGATTTATCGCATCGGCGCTGGACCCCCTTCCCTGGCGCGCGGAGCGCGCCAGGGGCGGCGCCGGAGGCGCCGCCGGGGGGCCCCAGCGCCGATCCGAGAAATCCGCGCGGACCTCCGAGTTTTTTTGTTTATGTCACTTCTTGTTCCCCTAATCATAGCAGAGTGGTGGGCCGCGCATAATAACAAGCATCGTACACGTCTTGGGTCAGTTACTGCACCTCATTCCAAGTGGTCGAACAACAGTCTGGGGATGATCTGTTCCTACTACCCTTGAGCACTTGAGCATCTGGTTGGAGCACGTTTGGGTTTTTTGTTTTATTCTTCGTCCAAGATCCGCCTGTCGGGGGACCTGCCCGACCAAACTCTAGGCCTCCCAGACAGGACCCCGTTTCGCTTCGTTGTCGTCGTCGCCGTCGTCGTCGCCGTCGTCGTCATCGTCTTCGTCGTCGTCGGCGTCTCGAGCCGATGTTCTTCGTATGTGTGTCTGTGTGTGTGTGTTGGATGTTCGTGTGCATCCTGGGGGAGGGTGCCCTTGAAATGTCTTAAGGTTCGGGGTGTTTTGGCTGGCGGAGGGTCCCATGTTCTTGAAGGATGTCCTTCTGTCATGGGTCCGACTGCAGATGGGGTCGGAGGATCGCGCCGCATCGCCGATGCACCGCCGAAGCGAGTCGACGTGGAGCCATATGTTTCCACGCCGATGACGCCGACGCATTGCTTCACGTCGCCGATGCATCGGATGCGGCTCGATCCTCCGTCCCCATGTTCCCCGACCCCATCTATCTGGATGGAAAGAAACACACAGACACAATGAATCGTCAATTTCCAAGAAAATATTGGAAAATATGGAAAGTGGGGGGGAAGACAAACACACAGAAAATGTAGGAACATATGGGGAATCTTTGTATTTGTGTGTATTTATTTGTGTGTCCCAGGGCCCCTTCAATCTAGGAGGCCACTGGGGATTCCGGCCGAGTTTCCTGCGATGTTGCCATCTTTGTCGCGACGCGCTCCGAACACCCGCCCTGGGCGGCGCCAGCGGTGCGCACAAGGGGGACCGCCCCCCGCGGGCAGGCCATGCGTCGGCCGCACCGCGGCCCTCCTCCTCCATCTCTCCTCCTCCCCTTCCTTCCTCCCTCCCCTCCCCCCTACTCCTCCCTCCTCCTCCTCTCCCCTCCTCCTCCTCTCTCCTCCTCATCCTCCCCTCCTCCTCTGCTCCTCCCTCCCCTTCTCCTCCTTCTCCCTCCTCCTCTCCTCCCCTCCTCTCCTCCTCCTCCTCCTCCTCCTCCTCCTCCTCCTCCTCCTCCTCCTCCTCCTCCTCCTCGTGGAGCGGATCGGGGATCGAGACTCCTGCTGTCAGAAACTCCCGCGTGCACCCCCAGGTCCGAGCTTTTTCCATGCAGCCTCTCCTTCGGAAGTCCCGACCAGCCAGTTTCCTATCCCGAGCCGTTTGCTCCCGGTCCCGAGGCCCGTCGAGGGCCTCCATGGATGCCGAAAATGGCCCCAAAGTGCCCCTCGTGATGCCTGGTCACGACGCGGGCGTGTCTGGGTTTTCGGGCCGAAGCTCGAGTCCCTGGCGGTCCTTCGGGACGATCTGGGCACTCCTGGAACGCCCTCGGCGAGGCGCAGCTGTTGGAGAGCGAGGTTGGAACACCGTCGAGGACCGACAAAAGCGTCGGAGCCGCTCGAACGTCGACCCTCGTCAGGACAAAAAGCACAAGAAAAACCGTCGAGAGCCGATGCGAACGCCAGGAACCCAGACCCCCGACGTCATGATATTTTCAGTACGTCGACCCCTAGAGGTCTCGACCCATTCCCTGGGACCGGTTTTTCATCCCGAATCGTTTTTTGTCGGTCCCGAGGCCCGTTCAGGGCCCCCAGAAGCTAAAAACAGCGAAAGACCTCCCGTCTTGATTTTTTCATGGCTCGAGGGGGGCTGGGAAAACAGCTCGATGCGATTGTTGTCAACTTGCCCGTCTGGGTCCAGCGCCCGTCGTGGCGGCGGCGCCCGCCGGATCGCGCGCGTGCAGGCGGCCACGCGCAGAGGGGAGTAGGGGGAGGGAGGAGGGAGGAGGGAGGAGGGAGGAAGGAGGAAGGAGGAAGGAGGGAGGAGGGAGGAGGGAGGGAGGAGGGAGGAAGGAAGGAGGAAGGAGGGAGGCGCTGTGCGGCTGGCTCGTCAGCCTCCCGCGAAAGAGGGGCATCGAGCGGCTGCAACACGCGCTCCGCCGTGCCGGTGGGGCGCCGGTCATATGGCTGCCGCTCCTCCGGAGGCGCTGCCGGGAGGACAGGTAATTGAGGGAGATGGGGGTGATCGCAGGACGGGGTGGTCGTGATGCAGGCCGTGGTGGAGGTGCGTTCTCGCTGTCACCACGTCGCGGCCTCTTCGTGTGCCGCGCGGCAGGCGGGCGAGACCCCGCCACCGCTGACACTAGGAGCCCTGTCTCCGCGGCTTCCCTGAGAAAGGGGGAGGGGGAAGGCCGCTTAGAAGGAGGCTGTTTTTTAGAAGGCGCGGGCATCCTCTATAGATGTACAGGCCAGCGCCTTCCGAGAAGCAGCCTCCCTCGAACCCAGACATGCGACGCCCCGATCTTTTCAATGCGCAGTCCACGGAAGCCCCGACTCTTTCCCCGGGACCAGTTTCTCATCTCGAGTTTTTATTGTTGACGGTCCGAAGGCCCGCCGAGGGCCCCAGGAGGCCAGAGTTGGCCAACCTCTTCCCGCCTGGATCTTTGTTGCGACGCGACCACGTCCGGGTAGGAAGCCCTCCCGCCGCCCCCTATCCTCCGCCACGTGCGCGCCCTCCCGCGCGGCCCGCCGCCCCCCCCCCCCCCCCCCCCTGGCGTTATGTCGGGCGTGTCCCCCTACAGGGGGATTTGCGACGAAAATTGAAAACATACCAGAAAATTCTCCAAAATTATCAAAAATACCCCAAAATAGTCCTTATATTATCTTTGGACAATTTTCTGCTTATTTTGGGGGTATCTTTTATTTTTCGTCGAAAATCCCCCTGTAGGGGGACAGGCCCGACGTAACCCTGGCGGGCAGGCCATGACCCGCACCAGCGAGGTGGAGCTCCCCGACGTGGCCGGCCAGATGCACCAGCTCTTCCAGGGCGCCCGCGCGGCCGCGCGAGCCCTCTCCTTCGGACCCGGGGCGCAACGAGCGGACAGGGCTCATCTCCGAACTCTCCTCCTCCTTCCTCCTCCTCCCTCCTCCTCCACTCCTCCTCCTCCTCCTCCTCCTCCTCCTCCTCCCTCCTCCCTCCTCCTCCTCCTCCCTCCTCCTCCTCCTCTCCCCCTCCTCCTCCTCCTCCTCCTCCTCCTCCTCCTCCCTCTCGGGGGATGTCGGCGCTCTCCAATCAGCAAGAGCGCCTTCGAGGGCGCGAAATGATTCGCGCTTCGCGCTTCGGCTCCGAGTCCTCCTCATCCTCCTCTTCTCCCCTTGGGAGGCGGCGCGAGAGCGCGAAGTCATTCGCACCTCGCGCTCTCGCGCAGCGCGAAGCGCGAAGTTGGGAGCCCTCGCCTCTCTCAGACCGGGCCGAACGAAACGGGCGGACAGGGAATCGGGCGTCGCGGGGGGGGGGGGGGGGGGGCGATCCGTGGAGGGAAGCGAGGTGCACTTTTCGAGCCGTGGAGGTCCTCTTTTGGGGCCCCTATAAAGGGTCCCTCTTCTGCAGCCCTCGCTGCCCCCCCATTCCACTCGCCCCGCCCTTCAGCGAAGCCCGAGGGAACGGGGGGGGTACGAAATCTGCTGCACGCCGCAGGTGTCGGTCCCGTCGCCGGGCCCACTCCTCGATGCATGGTCGCCTCCCCGCGCCAGGGGGCGCCAGGAAGACCAGCTATTTGAGCTGAGTTTCCACCCTGCCCTTTGCTATCCTACATTGCGCCACCCCCCATCAGAAGAGGAGAAGAAGGAGGAGGAGGAGGAGGAGGCGGAGGAGGACCCAGGCATGATGGCGTCGTAAGAAAATCACGGTAGGGGATTATTGGCCGTTTTCGGCCTCTGGGGGCCCTCGCCGGGCCCCGGGACCTTCAAACAACGATTCAGGATGAGAAGCCTGTCCCAGGGAAAGGATCGAGACTTCAGGGGATCCCGTGTTGAACAAATCAAGATGTCGCATGTCTGGGAAAGGTTTCCGTCCCGCTACCCTTCCCTCGTTTTTCACATGTTTGGGACCTCCAGGGAGGCCCTCGTCGCCACCACTGGATTTGCCTCGAAATCCTGGTCAGCACGCGCCCGGGGAGAGGTCCAGGGAGTAGCGGTATCAGTACCTGTTGGTTTCCCTACTCTCGGCCGGGCCGGCCGCATCAGCCGAAAGCGTTGCTGTTTTGCAGAACCGCAGTAGCTTGATTGCGGACGGAGTGGTGGAACCGCCCTTAAGGTCCAACGCATTGAAGACTCACCACGGGACTTCTACATGTTTCCGCCTTCTGCTGGGGCCCTCGCCGGGCCCCGGGGACCGTCGAACAGCTTTTCGGGATGAGAAGCCGGCCCTGGGGAAAGGGTCGGGACCTCCGGATATGGCGCATCTGAAAAGTCAAGACATCGGATCGGTGGGAGGTATTCGACAGCTTTCGGCTTCCGTGGGCCCTCGCCGGGACCTGAGACGGTCAAACAGATTCTGAGATGAGCGCCCGCTTTGTCATCGCTTTTCCCTTTTGCACGCACTTGCAAGTGGGCGTGTGAAGTAAATACAAGCCATGTGCATACTTCTTACAAACCATGTGCATGTCCTTCGGATGCTTTGCTCGGATAGACCTCGCTTAGCATCTTTCCCTCCCAAGAATGGATGTACCCTTACACGATGCCACGATAAAGGCAGCCGCAACGTAGTGTAGGTATCCCAGTTACAGCTGGTCTTATAGCTACGCATTCTAAGTTACAACGCGAACGTATGTGCAACATGATAACACCTGGTAAACAATATTGACTGCCTTCAACGGTAATTTTGGATATAGCCATTCCGAATCATTGAGATTGCAATGTGATTGTGTGTGCTTATCTTCTGGGCTACTGGGAAATCAACCTCAAATAGGGTTCACCAGCGCACATTGTATCATCACCAAAACAGGGGAACACACATTAAGTACAGTCGTTTGGGATTCCATATGTTTCAACAGAACGCGTGTACGCTAACACGTTTACTGTCGCATTCGGTAGATGTCTTCTCGGCCTGAGCGTCCCGTCAGCGCTCTGCAAATCTATTCTCAAGCTTGAGCGTCACGTCGCCCACCCTACCCCAACTCCCCGCGACATGATAGAACAACAACCGCCATTTGCAACACTGATATCTACCGCGGCCCTTCGCTGGAGAATCACTCAGGGACTTTGGATGGTGGGTCGTCTTGCCTCATCGTGTTGCTCGTTTCTCCCGAGGCGTCTCTTTTCTCCGGAGGCGGATTGTTCGCGCGGCTTCAGCAGTTGCTCATTACGTGCGTTGTCGTTGCGGCATGTGGAGTTGATTGCGGAACAGATGCGCATCCTCGCAGGGCCTTGGCAACGGATGGGGCAGGAGTCATGGAACGAGCTTCCAATTTTTACGTTGCAGCCTCCGACTTGCGGATAGATTTGGAGTAGTTCTGCGTGGTGTTTAGTGGCGCTTGGTGGGGCCTGTCGCCGGCCCACCCGACCACAGGCAGCACGAAATTTGCAATTCGACACGGTGCGATTATAGCGATGACCAATCAACAACCCCATTGTTGAGATCTTCTCGGCCCATCGCGAAGACTTGTTCACCAGAACAGAATGGTGCCTCTTCACGACAAGCCGTAAGTTTGCATTTTCCGAATGGAAGCAGCACGCGGAAAAGAATCGCCTCTTCCCCACCATCATTCTCAACCTCGTCGTTTAAGTCTCCCTTCCTGCACTCGCCTGCTCCCAGTATCGTTTAACCGACCCCCATCCCCATTCTCATCCCCTTCGAGGCCCCCACCAAATTACCGCCCCAGTTGGGGATACGCCCCTCGAAACCAGAAGGGAACGGCCTATATCCGCATCTAGGGGGGTCAATCGGCCGGTGGGGCCCAGGCCACGCCGCTGGGGATTGGGATCGGTTGAGCGATGCTCAGCTCCAGCCTCCCGCCGCCATTATTTATCTCTCTTCCGTCCTGCATCCGTCGATCCTCCTCCCTTCACCCTCCTCCATCCGCCCTCCCTTCACGCTTCTCCAACCGCCGTCCGCTGCAGTCATTCTTCTCACCCCTCCATGATCCCTCCTCCTTCCTCCCAGATGCATCACTCCCCCCTCCGCCCATCACGTTCTTCCTCCTCATCCTTTTTCCATCCTCTCTCGATCCTCCCTCCGTTTCCTCTTTGCTTTCCTCCACCCCCTTTACCCAAGGCTTCGAGGATCGAGGATTGTGAGCATGAGGAGGAGACCGAGGATCGATGACGGGGAGAATCGATGCCTCCCCTCTCCCTCTCCTTTCACGCTTCCTCCACGTCCCTCCATCTGTTCGTCGTCCCACTCCTTCGTCCTTCATCCTCCCTGCCTTCCCTCCTCCCGTCCGCCAAACACAAAAAGAACGAGGCAGTGGAGAAGGAGAAGGATGATGATGACTTGCTCCTCCTCCTCCTCCTCGTCCTCCTCCTCCTCGTCCATTTTCCCTCCTTCTCATCCTCCTTCTCGTCCTCCCTCCTCCTCCTCTTCCTCCTCCTCCTCCTCCTCCTTCCTCCTTCCTCCTTCCTCCTTCCTCCTTCCGCCTTCCTCCTTGCTCCTTCCTCCTTCCTCCTCCTTCTTTATCTCTTCCCCCCTCCTTCTCCATCCTCATTTTCCTCCTCCTCAGCTCCTCCTCCTCCTCTTTCTCCTTATCCTCTCTCCTCCTTCTTCTCCTTCCTTCTCCCCTCTCCTTCTCTCCCCCCGTCCTGGCCGGAGGC